TGCAACATCAGTCTTGGAAAAGCTCTTGGAGCCTTGGGAAAGGGCTTCTACTCACTGCTCCCCTACTGCAACCCTCAGATAACCCTGTAAACTAAGAGCTGCCCCGAAATTATAAAGCCAAAATAAAGTCACTGGGAAATATTGAAAGCTTCTATAACTTTTGACTCCACCAATTTGGTAGAGAACTTATTCCACCTCCAACAGACAGAAGGCCAATGTGCAGCTCCCACTATTTATTCACCTAATTAGTTTCTGGGGGTTGAACACTGGGCCTTGGATTTGCTAAGCACATGCTCTGTCACTGAGCTATATTGTCAGTATTTGTTTTTTTTTTTTAATTTTTAAAACTTATTACAATTTATTCACTTTGTATCCCAGCTGTGGTCCTCCCCATCCCCTCCCAATCCTGCCCTCCCTCCCTCTTCTTCCATGCCCCTCTCCAAGTCCACTGATAGGGAGGTCCTCTTCCCCTTCCACCTGACCCTAGCCTATCAGGTTCCATCAGGACTGGCTGCATTGTCTTCCTCTGTGGCCTGGTAAGGCTGCCTGCCCCCTCAGGGGGAGGTGATCAAAGATCCAGCCACTGAGTTCATGTCAGAGACAGCCCCCGCTCCCCTTACTAGGAAGCCCACTTGGACACTGAGCTGCCATGGAACACATCTGTGCAGGGATTCTAGGTTATCTCCATGCATGATCCTTGGTTGGAGTGCCAGTCTCAGAAAAGACCCCTGAGCCCAGATATTTTGGTTCTATTGCTCTCCTTGTGGAGCTCCTGTTCTCTCCAGGTCTTTCTATCTCCCCCTTCTTTAATAAGCTTCCCTGCACTCTGCCCTAAGTTTGGCTAGGAGTCTCAGCATCTGCTTTAATACCCTACTGGGTAGAGTCTTTCAGCATTTGTTTTTAAAGAGACCATCTTGAAATGTTATGGAGGCTAACTCTAAACTCTTGGTTAAGGGATGGCCCTGCCCCAGCTTTTCAAATAGCAGAGACTATGGGTTTGGATCAGTGCACTCAGATTGCCCTCTGGCTTTAAACATGCAGTGAAGTATAGAAGAGCCATTCCTGGCCTAACGTTCACATGATGGTTAGTCTCCATGCCCAGGAAGGGTGGGACATGCTGTGCTTGTTTTCCCAGGGCTTCGTATGACCACCCCCCACTGTGGTACAGCAGGATGGCCATGGTGACAGACCCTGTCTAGCAATTATGGCTGCAAGCAGACCTCTGTGGAAGATAAGTCTATGGGTATGGTCTGTTAATAACTGAGCAGGAAGGGTCACAGCATCTTATAAGCTCTTCACTAACCCTCCTCTGACCTTTCCCAAAGACTGCAAAAACTGCTCCATTCTGCTCAGCCACAGGTGACCTCACAGGTTTAAATATATAGAAGGTAAAAGACTGACTAGGGTTGGGGCTTTTCCTTTTTTCCTTTCTTATTTAGGTCACCCCCCCCTTCCCTTCAACCCCTCCCCTGTTGCATCCTGTCCCCCTGCTGCTTCTTTCAAATTCATGGTCTCTTTTTAAAAATTACTATTGTTACATGTATACATAAAGGAATAAACATATAAACATAACTACCTGAGCTCACTTATGTTGTTCATATGTGTTAGGATCACTTGGGACTCCAGTCCTCTGGTGGAGTAGTGATGGCCTTAAACTTTGTGCTCTGTCTCTCTCCAATGTCTGTACTCAGGCAGTGTGGTATGATGCAGCAGTGAAAATGAGTACTAACATGGAACATTTAGAAAATAGAATGTTTAGCAAAGAGATCAAGTTGACAAAGAACACACAGTTTCACAACAGTAATACTAACTGAAAATTAAAAAAACCCACAAATCAACCAATTAACATAAGTGTGTTTTGTTACAAGCCTGTTCCTAGTTTCACTTCTTTTTGCTGTGATGCAATATCCTGATAAGAAGCCACTACCTATTTAGGATCATAGCCGTTATTTCAGAATGAGGCAGAAACTTGAAATCCCTGGCCAAATCACACCTACAGTCAAGAGCAGAAAGAGAATGAATTCTTATGTGCCTATCTGTATAAAAATCCCCTTTCTATACTTACATAGCCTAGGACTGAAACCAAAGGAATGGTACCACCCACAGTGGTCTGGCCTTCCCACCTGAGTTAATGTAATCAAGACAATCTCCCACAGACATCCCACAGGACAACCTGACCTAGAGAATCTCCTGTGGATGCTTTCTTCCCCTGTGACTATAGGCTGTACCAAACTGAGGATGAAAATGAATCATCACCAATTCTATGGTAAACAGAGTTCAAAATACTTTTCCATTTGAGATCTATTTCCTGATAGTTAACCCGGGTAGTCTGCTCCTCTACACTGCAGAGCCGACAGAACAGGCCATAAACAATACCACTACCAATGAAACTGGGTGCCACACTTTAACCTACATGGCTCTTTTGGACCACTCATTCGTAGGGGGCCAGGTGCTGCTTTGAGGACATGCAGGCCAGTTGTGGCAATGCTCTCTTGACAACAAATAGGGGGGCTCTTGTCAATGACCACACGAGTGAGCTTGGAAGCAGGCTCTGTGATGTCATCTGGCTGCAGATGATGAGCATACTCAGGGCCATACGCAATTCCTTAGAAACTGCACTAGGAACTAGCGTGAAACGCAGCCAAGTCCAGGGGGAAGCTGTTAGGTAGCAAAAGATTTATACCAAAACACACTTACACGTGTCTGGCAAGGTGCACTAATTGTAAGGAGGGATACTAGCTACATCTACCACAGGATGAAAATGTGATTATGAAACTGTTAGATCAAGCTTCCTGAATGTGTACATGCTTTATGTGCAGCCAGCCCGCTGTGTCTGTGGGTCTCATGAGCTCAAGCAACCTCAGACAGAAAATATTTGAGAAGATGTGCTGGATGCGGCCAGCTGTGCCCTCAGTGCTCTTTGAGCAAGCAGCACAGAACCATTTACAGGGTGTTTGCACTGTTATCACCTTACTAGAAATGCAGATATGGTTTAAAGTATTTGGGTGGTTACCATGGTCTACACAGCAGCATTTTACACACAGGACTCAGGAGCCTGTGGATGCTGATACTTGAGAGGGTCAGATAAGAAGTCACACGGTACATATCATGTATGTCTGGGCTGGGCGACTGTGTAGACGTTATTATCCTTGTAGACCAGACATGGTTTTTCCTGCTAACTGGTCTTCACACTCCCCAGATGGCTACCACACCTTCAGATTTGCTGCTTCTCTGACGTGAGCAGCAGCTTTCCTTTAGCTTGCCATGATGACTTTATGATGGTTAGTTTTCATTGTCAACTTGACACAATCTAGAGTGTGAGTGAGAGATGGCCTAGATCAGCTTGGCCTGGGGGCACATCTGTGGGGGACTGTCTTGGTTACATCATTTGAGATGGGAAGACCTGTGCACGGTGGGTTACACCATTCCCTAGGAAGGGGATTCCGCACTGTACGAAAGTACAGAAGGTGAGCTGCACGCTAGCTTGAGTGCATCAACTCACTGCTTTCCACACTTGTATGTGATGTCACTGCTCAAGCTTCTGCTGCCTTGATTTCCCCTCCACGGTGGACTATAATCTGGAATAGGGAGCCAAAAAAGCCCTTTCTCTTTAAGGTGCTTTTGTCAGACTATTTTATTATAGCAACAGGAAAGAAAGCTAAGATAACCTTAAGCTTCTGATCCTCCTACCTTCATCTCCTAAGAGCTGAGATTATCAACACATGTCGTTGTGGGGCTCTGTTTCATGCTGCGCATTGTTGTAGGATTTGAACCAGGGTTTTCTGTGGCCTTGGAAGGCACTGTCTACTGAGTTACATATAACATCTAACCCCCAAACTTTTGACTTTCTGAGACAGGTTCTTAATCAAATTCATTCAAGGCAATCCTGCCTCAGCTTTCTGAGTGCTGGGGTTATAGGCATGACCCACCTTGCTCAGTTTGCAAACACTTTCTCAGTTCCTTGAAAAGCCACTTTGAAACCCTGCAGACATCTTGACCACCTCTCCTGATACAGGCTCTCCTTCCTCTCTCCAGCAACCTAATCACATGCCTGGATCTTCAGTTGCTTCCTTCCTTGGGCTGCTTGTCACAAGTACCTAGTCTTTGATAGCACCAGGTCTTATGTGAGCTTCTCCTGGAACAGCTGCCAGTCTGCAGGATGCTGGCAGTAGAGGGCCTTCCCTACCCTTGTGGAGTCCCACCCAGGCCTCAGCTGGACTCTGCAGTGTGACTCTGCTGTGGCTCCTTACACTGCTCAGCACAACATGTTCTGTGAAGGAATTACTCCTTGGCCTTCTTATTTTAGGGTTCTAAAAACCAGCACCCACAGGTCTCTCCTTATTTCCTAACGAGGACCCAGATTCTCATGAATTCTTTCCTTTATTAATTTTGCACCAACAGTCAAAACATCATAATTGATGGCCTGGAAACAGTTTAACTATGGGCATGTGCTCAGTCTGCTTGTGCCTCTGGGTTCCATTCCCAGAATCCCTACTATAAAATCAAACTGTAATTCGCACAAGGCTCCTGGGCACTTTGATTTCTTCTGTGGGAAATGATGACTAGTGCTTTCAAAAACTGTTGTTGCCTGAGATAGAAGGGAAGTTTTATGTGTGCTGAGCCTGGTGTGTAGGCCTGTAATCTCAGATTAGTGGGAGGCTGAAGCATAAGGATCCCAAGTTCAAAGCCCGCTTGAGCAACTTATGAAAATGTAGATTTGAAATTAAGAAAGTTCAGAAGTAAAGAGCTGAGGATATAGGTTGGTGGTAGGTACATTAGCATGTGCACACATGGATTCAACTCCAAGTATCCCCCCCCTTACATAAATCACCTCTTTTCATCTTTCAACAAGCTCATGAACTATTTCAGTGGTAAGATAAGCACACATCAAATGGCTCAACAGTAGCCAGTAAGGAGCTACGATTGTTCTGGGGGTTGGAGGGTGTATCTACCAAGGTCCTCTTTTCAGGGAGCTCCTGTGCTATGCAAGCCAGATTTACCTGCACAGGGACTCACTGCGAAGCCCATTCTCTTCCGAGCTCTGTCAAAGACCACGTAGAAGCCCTCCATCACAGTGGCGCCAATCACCAGTGCATTTGTAGAAGAGGAGATACCAAAACGGTAGCATTCATAATTGAGACCAGCTCCCATCATGGGCTGAATGTAGAGCTGTTTGTTGAAGAAACAAGGACAAACACACAAGACAAAGCATGGATTAGACAAGAGTATAAAACTGGAGGTCTCTCTCTGCCCGCAGCCCCCCAAAGGTCAAGAAAAACAAAGACAACACCTTCCCAGTAATCTGGAACATGAGATCGAAAGTGTCTCAATAAACGTTATTTTTTAAAGATTTTTAATTTTAATTATGTATATATTTGCCTGTGTCTGAGTATGTGCACACACATGCAGTGCTTCATTCCAGAGGACTGACTTTGCAGTAGCTATCTTGCACTGTTAGACTGTCAGCAAGCAATGCCTCAAGGCAAAGAGTTACTCATCTTTTCCCTAGAGTCTGGGGACCTTAGCCAGGAGTAGGGCCTAGGCAAATGTGTGTTAAACGAAAGTCTGGGATAAAGCATGGCCAATGTCAAATGGGCACACAGTTTCTAGAGAGGATCCGATTAAGTCAGAAAAAGGGAACTCCTGGCTCTAAGGGTCTGGAGGTTGTCCAAGTACATATACGATGTCTCTGTCATACCTAACAATGAACAAACTACACGGAAGCAAAAGATTATGTAGCAAATCTGAAGCAACTGACAGACATGAGTAAGTGGCCAGATGCCATCCAGGGTGTGTGTGTATTTTTTAGTTGGTTCTTTTGTGTGTCCCTTCCAGAAAGAAATCCAGATAATGGACATGGGAGACAGAGACAGACACACCTTAAGTTTGGGGCTGGTCTGGCCTGTATAGTGAGTTCTAGGCCAAGCCAACCAGGGTTCCATAGTGAGACCCTGCATAAAATAAATAATGAATTCCAGATTGTATATTTGGTAACCTTGCTGAATCTCATAAAAAAGACACTTGCCTACCTTGAGCCAAAGTGGCATAAACAGACAGCTGGGACTCTTTAGGCTGAGACGAGGTATATTGTCAAGGGTATATGAAGACTTTCCTGTTGGCCTAGAGGCTGTTCTAAAAAAAAGTGTGTGTGTGTGTGTGTGTGTGTGTGTGTGTGGTGTGTGTGTGTGTGTGTGTGT